AACTGAAGCCTCTGAGGCTGAACCAGGAAGCAAGGATGAAGGCCGGTGTGGAGGACATCTATGCAGGAACTCAGGTAGGCACAGGGGAAGACAGGGGACGGTCAGGGGGTCTGTTACATGACGATTTTTGGCCAATCTAAGGGATAAATGGGGCTTGGGGAGGAGAGGCCCAGAGCATTGACTCCTTCAGGCAATGTGTTTTGATCCTACTTGAGTTTGTGGACCTGCAGGCTTTTTAGTCTCTAATGATGCGATCTCGGAGGTTTGGGTTATATGGCTCCAAAGTCCCTTACCCCTGAGTATCCATTTTGTGCCTACCTCCGGTCAGTGCCCCCACAATGTTTTTCTTTGAGACAGTGTGAGGAACCACCGAGACAACTCTCCTTGACACTCCTTGAAAAGAAGGGCAACTATCTCTGTTTAGATAAACTTGGCCCTATCTCCATGTATTGATACGTACAGAGCTGGCTAAGCTATTTCTTCATCTCGTCAATTGGCTTTAAGCAACGTAAACTGAGCTGGCTGAGGAGATCCTAGTATCTTTGAAGCAAGGAGACAGCTGCTGTTTCTCCACCCTGTGACTCCCAAATCCTTGATTTAGCCAGGTGGGATGGAGAGCCGTGCTCCACACTGTCAGCAGGGACTGAGGCTCGAGAAAGAGGCTATGACTTCTCAAGACGAAAAGGATTGTGCATCAGAACTGAAGCACTGACCTCAAATTATTACACTCTACCTCAGTTGTGTTACACAGATTACTCTTTCTCTCTCTTTCTTGTCCTCTTCACACTGCAGAGGTGATCTCAGACCTCCTACTGAGCCCAGTTCATGGAAGTCACGTATTTCCTGCCACTGTCACTGTCACCCATCCCCGAGTCACTGCCCTCATGGAAAATTAATGAAACCTGGGTTGCGGTCTGGGCGAGGCCTTTTTTTCTGGTGAACCACCCTCTTGGCTGGACGTAGGGCCCCGTGGCTCCCCATAACTGTGTCCATGTCTTAGTGTCTTTATTCTCACCTGGGATTGCACTGGAAGTGGTAGATTGGGATTAACTCATGGGAATTGCAAATATAAGCCTTCCTGGACCGTCACAAGCATAGGAAAGGCATCTCTACAAGACTGCGTCTTGTTATATAATTCTTGCTGGTTCTGAACTTGCTATGTAGCCCAGGCTGAGCAGGACCTCAAGGAGATCCTCCTGCCTCAGCCTCATGAGTGCTGGGATTACTGGCATGCACTAGCATGCCAATCAAGACCTACATTTGCAAAACCGCTGTGGTGCCCTCCTTAGTGTTTTTTAAATAATTAAACACTTATAATTTTTTCTAATTTCTATTTAAAAATCTTTTTGCAGTTTTATGGAAGGAACCCAGGGCCTCCCAGGGTGCAAACGTGCTGTAACTACTGAGGCAGCTGACCTTCCTTTTGCTATTATTAATCTTATTTGTGGGACTTTTTGTTTTATTTTGATTTTGGGTTTTTAAATTAAAAAAAAATTTTTTTTTGGTTTGTTTGTTGTTTGAGACAGAGTATCTCTGTGTAGCCCAGGCTGGCCTTGAACTTGCAGCAATTCTCCTGTCTCATCCTCCCAAGCTCTGGGATTACAAGTGTGCACAAGCAATAGTGCAACTATTACTATTATTTGGTTGGACATTTAAACTTTACATTCTAAAGAATGTTTTTAAATTTTAAACTTCTTTTTTAAGACAGGGTTTCGCCATGTAGTCCTAGCTGGCATGGAACAGACTCTGCAGCCCAGGTGGGCCTTGAACTGGCAGCAATCTGACTGCCTCAGCCTCCCATGTGGTAGAATCACAGGTGTACACCAACATACCTCTTTTAAAATTGTTATTAGTATCTTATCATAGTGCATGGTGTGCAGGCATTGGATACACTGTTCTTCTGGAATCTGCTAAGGCTTGATTCGTAGTTTTGCTCAGAATTGACTATATTGATGCTCCATGTGTGCTAGAAAAGCAATGCATCTTCTACATGTTGAATGAAATGTTCTACATAAGTTAGTCATGTGTGAGGGTGCACACCTATAACCCCAGCATTTAGGAGACTGAGGTAGAAGAGTCACTGTGAGTTTGGAGGCCAGGTTGGGCTACAAAGTGACTTCAAGGCCACCCTGAACTGCATAGTGAAACTCTGCCTCAAAAGTAAAACAAAAACAAAACAAAACAAAAATAAATTCATTACATAATACTTGTGAATTTTCTCGCTTACTTTTTCTTTTTCTTCTTTAATGCTCACTATTGAATCTAGGCCTTGTCAATGCAAGTTAAGACTATTAGTGAGCAGTCTCCAGGCGTTTGTAGCTTTTCTTTTTTCTTTTGGTGGTACTGAGGACCCAACTTGGAATGGCTCTACCACTGCACTATGTCCTCACACCATTTTATTTTGAAACAGGGTCTTGCTGAATCGCCCAGGTGAGAGCTTTCACTGTGACCCTGTGTGTAGGGTCACGAAGGGCCGGCTCCCACACAGTCTGAGCAATGGAGCGTCTGGGAGAGGCGGGCGCAGCTTTCTGGCTGTACAGACATCAGCAGTGCTTGAGCAGCGAGGCCAAGGCTGGGGAAGGCTGGACTCACCAGCTGCTGGCAGAGACAGTGCCCCTCCAGTGCCCCAGAGCCACTTTCCAGCCCTGCCTCTCCTCACCTTCCTGGGGAAGGAATCCAAACTTCCAATCTGAGCTCCATCCCCGGGCCTTTTCCCATCTTTTGAGATGGGCTCTCGCTGAACTGCTAAACTGGCCAGGCTGTGCTGGAACTTGTGATCCTCTTGCCTCAGTCTCTTAGAGCACTGGGATGATGGGTCTGTACCACCATACCCAGCTTCAGGGGGAGGCTTCTGCTGAATCCAGTGGCCACATGGTCAACAATGCGGATGAGAAGACATCTGGTGGCAAACTGCTGGAGCCGTGCCTTGGCCTGGCCATCGCCGTCTGCAGGGTCCTCCCTACAGGCTCCCCTCCTGCTCTGCACAGTCTCAGCCCTGGACACCAGCGCGGCTCACTGTGCTGCCCAGATCTGCACACCTGCTCTGTCCTAAATACAGTTTCCCTGCTCCCTGCATGCAGCCGTGCCCTCTGCAGAGCTCTCAATCTGCTTGGGAGAAGGAGCTGTGCTGTCCAAGTTTGCGTTTCCTCCGGTGATCGTCTTCTGGCTTAGTGTTCCTCACTCAATCACTTACATTTTATACTTGTATCACTGTGAAGATTTTTGAATTTTGGAGGGAGAGTTGTTTTGTTGTGTTTTAGATGGTGCTGGAGATCCAGCACCAAGGTCTTTGGAGCTCACTTATTCATCTAGCTCACTACAGCTGTCTTCACACTCATCTCATTGTACTCATAATATTCTGTCTCAGTTTATCTTGTGAGTTAGGGATTAGTTAACCCGTGTAGAAGATGAACCTGTAAAAGTAAGTGCATGGTCTGTTGCATTTACTCTTAGGACACTATGTGATGTAAGTGGGGATTTTTTTTGTTTTTTTTCGTAATGGGGTTTGCACTCATGACTTCATGCTTACTAGGCAGGTACTTGAGGTATTGAGCTAAACTCCTGGCCCTTTTGTTTTTGTTTTTTGTTTTTGAGGGACTTTGGTAAGGTACCAGGGATTGAACTCATGACCTTGTGCATGTCAGGCAGGCACTTGTACCACTAAGCTAAATCCCTGGCCCTATAAGTGGCTTTAAGTAGCTGTCTGGATGCCACCCAAACATGGAAGCTACACATCAATTCCAAGTTGAATTCAAAGAATATCAACCAAGCTACTTGGATCTGTAATCCCAGTGCTTAACAGCATGATGGAAGAGGATCACAAGTCTGGTCTGCCTGGAGAATTTAGTGAATCTGTGTCTCAAAATAAAAACTAAAAGGAGTCTGGAGAGGATGACAGAACTGTGAGCAGCGACAGAGCAACCTTTGGAGACTCAGAATCCAACACTGGAGAACAACGGCAGGAAGAGAGAAGTAGGAAGGTGGATCCCTGGGAGCCAGGAAGGATCTGAAGGGCAAATTGGAGCCCACAGAGAATGTGAAGAAATGGACTCCAGTGAAGACAAAGGAGAGGGCGCTCTGCACTGTCTCCCCAGCTCCTGGCTCAGGCAGGAGAAAGGAAGACGGAGTCCAGGGACACAGCACAGTGACCCTGAGGAGATGAACTAGGGGAGCAGCACTGGCTGCTGGGGTGTCTGACCCAGGGGAAAGTGGTTACCACACAGGGGCTACCGACAACACTGCAGAAGGAAACACTGTTACAGGCTATTCCAGACCAGGAGCAGTCTCTGGTCCAGTGATGGCAAAGCCTGAGTCCTTAATGGTTGTGACATGTGCTGTAGCACTTGGTGGCAAGACGGCATCACTCAGGCTGCAGGTGCTAGGGTTTGTGTCTAGATGTCCCCAAAACCTCATGCAATCCTAGGTGGGGCTTTTTCAGAGGTGGCTGGATCTAGAGTTTGATGCTGGGATCAATTCATGATGCAGTGCAAGGCTGCAGGGCACTAGAATTAAGTGTGAGTGCTACCTACCCTGAGTATTTGGGGGAAGATATAAGGGAGAGAAAAAGCTGTGGTCACCCTTTGCTTTTCTATTTTTCCTATCATACACTGTTTTTGCTTTGTGAAGCCCCTCTGCCTTTGAGCCAGCTGACTATGAACTGAAATGGAGCTGAATAAATCTTTCTCCCTTTAACTTTGGGCATCCAGTACTTTGTCTCAGCAATGAGATAATAACTAAGGCAGAAGGCCTTTTCATTTGATCTGCATAATAAGCAAGTAATGTGGGTTGGAGCTATAGCTCAAGGGCACAAGAATCTGCCTGGCAAGCGTGAGGTCATGAGTTCAATCCCCGGTACCAAAAACAAACAAACAAACAAGTATTGCTATTTTCGTGTATATGAGACTAAAAAACTTGTTCAGGGTCACAACAGGTACTCAACAGCTCAGCCAGGATTAAAGCTCATCATGTTCTCACAGGAAGAACAAAAATAATGACTCTGTGATATGTGCATTTTATTTCAGATCAAAGAACCATGGTAACATTCACAGTAGGAAATCCATGTGGAAATATTTAATGTTGCTGAGGGTGAGACAGACAGGGGCGGCAGCGCTGGAGCAGTCAGTCCTGGGCTCCTAGGGTGGGGGCTTCCCTAGGCGGGAGGTCGCTGTCCGCGGTCCTGGCGGAGGTGGCCCAGATACCAGCAGCTGAGCTGGGTCCTGGGGCACTGCAGGCTCTTCAGCTCCAGAGCCTGGATCTAGCCAGGACCCCCGGAGACCCGAGAGCTCCCTTCGAAGGTCCGCGTGATTTCCTCAAAAGTCCTGCCTCGGGTCTCGGGGACTTTGAAGAAGGTGAACAGCAGAAAGATAATTAGGAAGACAGCGAAGATGAGAAAAACATATGCAACTGAGGAGGTCCAATGAGAGGAAGGGAAGGTTGATATTAATTATGCAACTTTGTCCCTGGCAAATACAACCTCCTTCACACCTGTTTGTCCAGAGGCCTCAAGCTATAACCAGCCCCTACCTGAATGAGAAGGTACAGCCTCTCTGAGGCTTATTTCTGACGCCAATGTTTAGCTATTGTATTTCTCTGGAATTGGTGTTGTACCTTTCCTGTTTACTAAAGGCAGCTGCTTATAAACACCTACCATTCTGGTCTACACTGAAAATCTGGTTTCTGAAAAATCTCATGTAAGTAGAAGGGGTTGTAAAAGTCTGTTCCAAATTCTAACACATCAGCTCAGGGTCATTTTATTTTATTTACAGACATTTTATTTTATTTACACAGGTCATTTTATTTGCTACAGTTAAGCCTGACCTTGAACTTGCAGCAATCCTGCCTCAGCCTCTCAGTGCCTTACAGGATTACAGGCAAGTGCCACCTTGTCCAGAATATTTGGGTCATTTTATAATGGGATCCAAATTCTAAGCAGAGCGAGTGAGCTTTTAGGATCAAGGTATGTGTTAATTCTGGCTGGTGATAAGGCATTGGTTTGGAGGGATTGAGGCTTATCCCTACTTTTTGCTTTGTAGCGCGCTCCTCCTCCTACTGTTAATGAGCAAGAATCTAGGACTTTCAGAGTAGAAAGGAAGCGCTACACTTTGCAAGAAGGCTGGGAGGATGGTGCCGCCCAGCAGCACAGGCCAGCGCTCCTCAGTCCCCAAGATGAACTTCAGGCCAAAGGTCTAGAAACCAGATAAGACAGTATCACAAAGCCCATATTTTGTAGGACACAATTTTTTAAAAAGCCAGCTAAGACAAAGGACTATCATCTAGAATATATAAGCAATTCAAAAAGAAAATCAGACCCTGCCAAATTCAAAGACCCAATCCAAAAATGGGCATCTGAGATAAATACACACTTCTCAAGTGAAGAAATAACAATGGCAAATAAATACATGAAAATGTTCAATGTCACTGGTCATTGGAGAGATGAAAGTTAAAATTATGCTGAGATTCCATTTCATCCCAGAAAGAATCTCTATCATCAAGAAATCAACCAGCAACAAACACAGATAGGGCTGTGGGGATAAAGGAACTGTTCTCCACTATTAGTGGAAGTGTAAATTGGTACAACCAATATGAAATTGGTTTTACAAAGATTACTGAAAAAATTGAACCTGGAGGTTCCCTTTGACTCCGCTATGCCCCTTCTTGGTATCATCCCAATAGAGTTATATCACTACAGTGATATATGCACGCCACAGCACAATTTGTAAAACAATTTGTAATCTTGCAAACAGTCCAAATGCCCACCAACTGATAAATGGATAAATATGTGGTTTTTTTTTTTTTTTTTATCAGTACCGGGGATTGAACTCATGACCACACACTTGCAAAGCAGGTGCTTATGCCGCTGAGCTAAATCTCCAGCCCCAAATATGTGTTTTTTAATACAATAGAGAACTACTCAGCCATAAGAAGGATAAACTTAAAACATTTCTAGGTAAATGAGTGCACCTTGAAACAATACAAGTGAACTGAAGTCGAACACATGGGTAAAGATTACATGGTTTCGGCTGTGGTTTAGCTCAGCTGCTTAACTGTCTGCTTGGCAAATGTGAGGTCATAAGTTCGATCCCCAGCACCGAAAAAGAAAGAAAGAAAGAAAGAAAGAGAGAGAGAGAGAGAAAGAAAGAAAGAAACAGGGAAAGAAAGAACGATTTACATGGTTTCTCTTATACTACTAAGAAACTAAAGTATAAATAAGGACCAAAGTATACGCAACAGATATTGTAAAATAGGAAGAAAACATTTAACGGGGAAGGGAGCTAAGGAGGGAGAAGGGAGGGGGAAAGCAAGGAAGAGAAAAAAGGAAAAGATGTGGAAACAAAACTTTTGTAAATAGGGATTTGTTGAGAGTGAGGAGCACGGGGAAAAGCAGTCAAGACTTAACATGTACAAATAGAAGTTCTCTATAATGTATGTGATCATTATGTACATGTAAAATGTGCCAATAAACCTAAACTTTTTTTTTTTAAAAAAACTTACGCATTCTCTTTGTTTTTTGGAATGTTTTGGAGATGGGGTCTTACCATGTAGTTCAGTCTGGTCTTGAACTCCTGCCTCAGCCTGCTGAGTGCTGGGATTACAGAAATATGGAACCAGGCCCAGTCAGTTGTTTTACCATAGAAAAAGGTAAAATTGGGGCTGAGAATATAGCTTAGTGGCACAAGTGCCTGCCTGGCAAGCACGAGGTTGAGTTCAATCCACGATATCAAAAAGAAAGAAAGAAAGAAAGAAAGAAAGAAAGAAAGAAAGAAAGACATAAAATTTTATTTTCCCTTTTTGGTCCTGCTGGTTTTGTTAGCTACAATGGAGTCCTAGGAATCATGCTGTCTGAAATACACTTCACTGAATATGTCCCATCTTTTCTTGAGCTCACTGTCTGTGAATTCATTCAGTGGGCAGGAAGTGAACACTCGCTCAGGGAGAAACCCCCGGGTACCTGCGCCACCAGGATCCCGACGACGATGCCCAGCTGGTGGAGGGCGCCAAAGGCACCCTGCAGGTTGGTGGGAGACACCTCTCCGATGTACATGGGCACGAACCCCGTGCAGAGCCCGCAGAAGATGCCTGTGATCAAGCGGCCCAGGATCAGCATCTCCACGGACTTGGCCATCTTGCAGAAGCCCATGAGGCAGCCGCTGACCACCACCAGCACGTTGACCATGAGCATGGAGTTGCGCCTGCAGATTCAGAGACGACTGAGGCCAAGCGCCCAGCAGGCCGCTCTCCCTTCCCTCCTGCCCCTCCCGGCCACAGCTGCCCTTCTTTTGCTTTAACTTTTCTTTTCCAGTTTCTATTATCAGAACATTTCAAATTGGTGTAGGCTGAATCAAGGTTTTTTAACTATCTTTTTATACTTCTTTATGTATCAAACTCACCTAGAAAACTTAAGGTCTTGGCAACCCATTCTGGCCCCGCCTGTCTCTCAGGAGCTTCTCCTATTCCCTAAGAAATATTCCTACCTTAAAAAAAAAAAGTAACATGTAAGATCTGTTTTTGATGGTGCTGGGGATCAAACCCCGAACCTTACACATGCTAGCGGGCATCTTACCAACCGATCTAGCTGTTGCTTGAGATTTCTTCTGCAAGACCCAACTGTAGCCTAGGATTTTTTTCACACAAGGCCTCAGGCAGCCATGAACTCACTACGTAGCACAGCTGCCTCAGCATCCTTGCTGCTGAGGTGACAGGCACCTCCACCAAGCCCTACTATCCTGGGATTTTAGCAAGCACGTCAGGCCAGTGGTCCTCAGAGTGGCTCACACGCTCACAGCAGTTAGTAATCTGCTAGAAATTACAATTCTCCCCTCCCCTAGACTCATCATTAGGTCTCACCCAAGGGCCAGGGCCCAGGAATCTGTGTTCTCAAAGGTCCTGAGTGGAAGTCACAGGAATTAGGGTGTGTTATGTACAAATCCCACAGTGAATGTAATCATTACATACTGCCGACATGCACTCATAAAAATTTAAAGAGGACAAAAAATCCTTAAAACATTCCATGTGATCTGACACAACTTCATCTGAGAATCACTGCCCAAGACAGTACTTTGGGAAATGCTGTCCCACCCCCAAGAGACATTTTTTGAGGTCAGACATGGTGACACAGGCCTATAATCCCAACTACTTTTGCAGGTTGATGTGGAAACATTTCAAGTTTGAAGTCAACTCAGGAAATTTATAGTGACCCTGTCTCTAAATAAATACAATGGAGATGTGCTAAATCCCCAGCCTCTATGCGTTTTCATTTTACTGCATTTCAAGTACTGTAGTTGCTTAGAGAGCATGAATATTGTACTGATTTTAAAACATTTCAGATAAAATGTTTCCTCCATCACAGAATTATATATACTCAAAAGCAGTCAGCTTCAGCTCCCTTCTCTAGCTGTAGTGACGTCATTCACGATTAGCACTGACAACAGTCTGAAATAATAAACTGCTGCATTTGTGTGCTAAGCCCCAGAGGCAAAGCACTGCACCATGATAAACCAGCAATAAAAGATTACACTGAAGCTGGGTGTGTGGCCTTCACCTGTAATCCCAGCACTCGGGGAGCTGAGGCAGAGAGATTGCTCTGAATTTAGGGCCAGCGTGGGCTACATAGGGAGATTCTGTCTCAAAAGAAAACAAAAACAAACAAACAAAAATAACAAGTAGAACCCAAAATAAAAATGATTATCAGTGCAAACCTAGAGCTCATGTTAGTGAAGAAGCAGCGTCACCACTCTCCTGAGTCTCACTTGTGCGCCATGACGATTAGTGGGATGTTTGGCAAAATGCATGTGTCTCACCCCTGTGCAGGCAGCCTAATAGGCCTGGGGTACAACTTGGCACTGAGACTTAACAGCTCTCCAGGGCATCCTAGATGTGTAGCACCAATGGAGAACCCTGTGAGCAGAATTATTCCCCCCTCCCCATTTTCAGCTTTCTCTGCATTCTTTTCCTGGGGACCCCTTCTATACTAGCATGGAGAAAACCACATCAGGTTGTTTGTGCTCAAAGCAAGGTTTTCACTACGTGGAGTAGGCTGGCCTCAAATTCATGGCAATCTTCCTGCCTCAGCCTCTCCAGTGGTAGGATTACAGGTGTGCCCCACCACAACCAGCCTTTTTTTTTTTTTTTTTTTTTGCTTTTTTGAGACAGCATCTCACTATGTAAGGCTAGGTTCGAACTCACCATGTAGCTCAGGCTAGCCTTGAACTCACAATCCTCCTGCCTCAACCTTCCAAGTTAGTTATAAATGAAGGAATCCACTTAAAATTCTAATGATTTCAGAGGCTGGGAGTGGATATCAGTGGTACAGCATTTGCCTACCAATCCTGAGTTTGGTCACCAGAATAAGAAAACAAAAAAGGCCAGGGTGTAGCTCAGTGCCTGCCTGGAAATTACAAGGCCTTTAGCTTGATTCCCGGTACAAAACAAAGCAAAACATTAAACATTGGGCTGGGGGTTTAGCTCAGCGGCATAAGCGCCTGCCTTGAAAGCAGGCAGTCGTGAGTTCAATCCCTGGTACCGATAAAAAAGGAAAAAGACCAAAAAAAAAAAAAAACAAAAAAAACATTAAACATTATAATACTAAACACAGGATATATATATATATACACCAGGAATTGAATTAAGGACCTTGTGCCCTGGACACTCTTTTTCTTCTTCTTTTTTTTACAGGTTGCTTTATTAATGTTAATCTTAAATGCATACGCATATGGAGAATATCTAACTGAGAAACTAAATGGTTCTTTCAGTCATTGCTGAAAGTATGCTGCACACTAAGATATTTCATCAAGCACTTGCTTCAAATTCATGGCTATTCAGCTGTTTTCCCACTGTCCACATTTACTCCAGATCAATATTTAGAAAAAATTTTCTACATAAAACAGTGAACAGACTTTCGTGACCCCTCCTCCCTTTTCAAGTAAAGCAAATGAATTTTGATCTTCAAAATAAAGTGTGTTTCTGGGATCACCGCTGCACCAGCCAAAGCTACTTTAAGGGCTGTTCATTGAGGGCTGAGTGACAGCCAAGCTTGGTGGTGGACTCCACACCACAGCAGTCCAATCCAGGGCCACCTGCACTAGGTCCACTTCCTTGGCCAGTTTGTGCTCCATATCTGCCAAAGTGGTTGACAGAGAGTCCAATGGAAAAGGAGCCAAGCATTCCGCCCACTGAAAATATAGCCACAGACAAGGACCAGAGGGTCGTGAGCAGCTCCTTGCTGGGAGGGTTACCCAACTTCTGGGACAAGGTGCTGTTGATAAACTCTGTAGTGATCTGCAAAATAAAATGGTTGGCACGACAAACGTGAGGTCATGAGTTCCATCCTCGGTACCAAAAAAATAAATAGATAATATAAAATAAAATGGTTGGTGAGAGGACAGACTGATACAGCTGGACAGGAACCAGAGAGCAGGGATCATTTCCTCCTGTCATGATTAGATGGGGATGGAAGAGAGCAGCCCAGACTGGGGTAGCTCTGCGAGAAGTGCAGAAGGCCTGTCCCAGAAAGTGGACAGCAGGTGGCAGCACTGGTGTGCGTGCTCTGCCCGGCCCTCTGCCTCCTCACAGCAGGGACCAGTGGGAAGCCCAGCCAGCGGGAGGGGCTCAGAGGAGCCAGCCCTGCTCGCGGTGCGGTGCAGGAAATGAGTGTTGTGGCTTCAGTAAGTGACCCAACATGTTTACCACCTTCTGTCTTAGCCCAGACATCTGAGATACAAAGTTCTAAATTCTAAATTTTAAAAGTTTCCCCCCAATGCTAGAGATTAAACCCAGCATCTCCTGCGTGCTAGGCAAATGCTCCTCCACCACGGAATGCCACCCCCGCCCATTAAATTCGCTTTCCAACTCCCCGTTCCCAGTTATAACTCTCAGCGCCCGATACTCACCATCTCGGGAGCATTGATGACCCCAGTGTTGTAGCCGAATTGGAAAGAGCCGATTGCAGCGATGGTGATGGCAAAGACCAGAGACGGGGTCACCTTAGTTTACAATGACAGGGGAGGAGAGAAGCAGTGTTTACAACTTTTTAATCGTTTTTCATATTGAGGACTGAATCCAGGGTCTTTGCATTGAGCCGCATCCCCAGGACTTTAACTTTTCCAGACAGTTTTGTCAAATTGCCCCTTAGGGCTTGAAATTGTGATTCCCTGTCTCCATCTCCCAGACTGCTGGGATTACAGGAGTGCACTCCCCTTCCCCCAGCTAGTCCTTAAAACTTTCTCACTGATGTTTGACTCCTGTTAGTTATGGACATATACTATATTTGAATTTGACCTATGAAGATTATGACGACAAGAATGTAACGAGATTTTTGAAAATTTTGTGGAAGTCGAAATGAATCAGTGCGGACCCAACAAAATCACCAGCCTAGAAAGGGAATACGTGGGTCAAATGGGATTTCTAGTTTTAAGGAATCTGCATGTGATCTTCATAGTATCTGTACTAGTTTACACTCCTATCAGCAGTGGATAAAAGGTGTCCCTTTTGTCCTGTAGCCTCGCCAGGATTTGTTATAATTTTTTTCTCTTCAAAATTATTTTTTCTTTTAAAACAGTGCTGGGGTTGAGACCCAGAACCTCACACGTGCTAGGCAAGTGCTGTACCCCTAAACCTTAAGGTTTCCATCTTTTCATATAGTATTTAGTGTTTCATTAATAACATTTTGCAAGTTGTGGGTTGGACCTGGGATGGTGGTCAGTTACAGAACGCTGGCCAGCGTGCAGGGCCCCAGTCCACACCTTGTTTCACCCTCAGCATCTCACACACACACACACACACACACACACGTGTGCACACACACGATCATAAGGCACACACGCACTTGTGCACAGTTCTGGAGATCTTTAGGAACATCACACAATTACTCTACAGCTGGTTTGGTAGGAAGTAACATGCAGAGACACCAAAGTCATTCTGAGAATAGGACCAACCGTGGAGCTTACCTTTCCAGTCCTCGGCCTCCAAGTGTCCATCAATTTCTCCTCTAACACAGCCTTGGGCTCCCTCAGCCACACATCTGACTTCTGTTAAAAAATGTAACACGTTTGGGGCCAGGAATACAGCTGAGTGGCACAAGTGCCTGCCTGGCAAGTGCAAGGTTAGGGTTAGGTCTTCAGCGACTTAGTCCTGACTCCGACCCGTCTCCTCTCCAGGCCTGCCCTGCTCACACCGGCTGTGGGTTCTTGTGTCGTGTCGCTTGAGGCCCAGCAGGCAGATCCACTAGCAGCCATCCAGGGCTTCTCTCTAGGCCTGGGAACTTTCTCCATCATCTGGGCAAATAATTACACGGAGCCAAACTAAGACAGAGCTAGAGGGAGTCAAAGGACAAAGCAGCAGATTTCTTCTTCGCGCATCCAAACCTAGCAGGCCCTGTTTGTTCTGTGCTGCTGGAAATGGAACCCAGTGCCGCACGTGTGCTGGCGAGTGTCTGTCACTCAGCTGTTCTCCTAGCTCACCACATGATTTTGTGGGTGACTTATTTGTCAGAATTTATTGAATTATATGTTGTGCTTTTTTGTTATGTTTCATAAGAGGTTTTCTGTTTTTGTTTTTCTTCTCTTTTGTTTGAATCAAATCTCACTGTGTGGTCATGTTGGCCTTGAGTTCACTATGGACGCAAGGCTGGCACAGAATCCCCCAAAATCCTCTTGCCTCCAGGGTGCTAAGATTATCAGTGTGGACTCCAGACGACCTGGCACTGGCTGACGTCACCTAGGAGGAGACCCCAGGTCAAAGGCACGCGCGCACGCACAGAGACACAGACACATGCACACACATGCACATGCTTGGAACTCTCGACCCACACAGACTATAGTGATAAACATTTATTGTTGTTTGAAGGTGTAAAGTTATAGGGTAATTTGGGACAGGGCAGGGAAACTACAGTGTTTGTGAACATTTCTAGATTCTGCTTTTTATTTCAGATCAGGGGATTGAACCTAGAGCCTCCCACATGCTGGTCAACACAGTCTCTGCCTGTAATGCACCCCCCGCTCCATTTTCGGGATTCGAAGCAGCACCTGCTTCCAGCGAGGTGCCTACGC